CAATTTAAACATTTTTTTATTCATCGTACTACACTCATATAATTCCTAATGAAATGTAAAGTATACGTTATTTAACGTACATTTTTGGTGGTCTGGAGTTCAACTCCCCCGACAATTATTCGGTATTTGCAATGGTTAACATGTGCTCAATCGAACTTATTATTAATTGCCTTGCATGTGCTCGGGACAAATGTTTTAATTATATTGAGAGTAGTGCTTTCGATACGGCTTGTCCCATATTCAACCGCCTACGGTCTCATGGGCTTCGAGCAGGCCAGTGGGACAAGTCTAGTATCTGAGATCTAGCCGGCTGCCCCGCCCTCCAATTTCCGCAAGCCGTCCCCCGTCTTTGGATCTGGCTCCACTTTATGCCCCGACTGAGTACCAGACAGTCGGAATTACATGTGAGCTCAAATCTGAACCCGAATCCGAATCCGAATGTTAAACAAGCGGCTTGTTTGTCTGGAGCGTTGGTGTCACTCCGAGTTCTATTCATAGCCGACTCGCTTCTGATTTAGCCTCTGATTCGCATGACGAATCTTTTCCTGGCACTTTCTTCTACACGCCAATCAACCAAATAAAGGTAGCAAATTACGGCCTAAGGGGAATTCATTTGAAATTGCCTTCGCAGCTGACTGAAAATTATTTGCACTTATTTGCATTGCCAAATATTAGGCGAGCATGAACTAACATTCACAACGAAGTGTTTTGGGGCCTGCCAAAAATTTAATTTGAAACAGATGGCAGATTTCGAGGGGCCAAGCAATTACTTTTACTTTTCAACAGAGAATTATATTTAAATTACACCAATTCAAAAAGAAAACACTTTAACAAAGAAGGAATACTCGATTTGCATTTTGTATTTGTATTTTGAATTTAATGATTTAAAAAAGGATTTATTTTTTTACAACCAAAAAACATATTTACCTTTACAAAAAAATACAAAGTACGACTTTACTTTAATAAATGCATTAATGATGCATTAATTAATTAATTAAATAAAGCCAAATGCACCATTTTAAAGGTATTTTGCGCAAAGACGCAAAATAATAATTGTTCTCTGAATTAAACTCTTCTTTAACATCAAATTGTAAAAAAAATTGTTTAAAAATAAATAACTTAAACTCAAATTTAACAAAGAAATAAGCAATTCTCCAACAATATACAAACGTTCCTTACATCCACTCTAAAAGAAATATTAGTTTGCCCTTAATTATGAATTTAATAGATTTAATCTTTAACAACAAATGTAAACGTTCATACTTAATGAATTTGTTATGGTCTTCTTAGGTAGTGCCCAGCTTTATAGTACTGGGTATTTCCCCCCATAATCCTGAATGGGTTAAATGGGTTAATGAGCTGCCCGAAAGAGTGCCCCTAAGCCCAATGTGATCACTTCATGTTCGTGTTTGGGATAAATGTCGCTTTCGCGGATGTTTGTGCCATTGTTTCGGCTAGAAAGTCATTGTCAATGCCAAGAGCGAATCATTTGGCGTGCGATAGATACAGCTGTATCTGCTTGTAGATACACATACGACCCGTGTACAGGGGCCTGTTGATTTTATTGCGGCCTCATCCAATGTCAGTGACACTCAGGCAGTGTCAATGTCTGCAGCTCGATGACAAGGTATTCGCTCAACGGGCTAATGTGTTTTGTAGTGCCCAAAAAATGGCATTTGTTTGTATGACTGAATCATGGTGATGCTATTTGCTACATGTTCGGATATAAACATGACGTGCCACCAACCGAAACCCAACCAAAAGTCTATTCCTACCTCTTTTACGCTTGTCCAACAATGTCGCCCCAATTGTGTTGTATTGTTAATTATTCTATTATTTTGCGCAGTTAGTCCAAAAACTTTGTGTGATCTTAATGGGTGACATGTCATCATAAATTAATTGCCCTCGCGTAATAAATTAATGGAACAAAAGGGTAGATAAACTAAAAATATCATTAATTAATTTTTCCCCAAAAAAATATAAATTAAAGCAAACGAAAAAATGTGAATTATTGGTTAAGAAGAATTTCCGCTTTTACAAAAAATCCATTTTTGTTTACAAATCCGTTGAGCTTCCACAAATATATCACTAATTAATAAACATAAAAGCAACCCAAAAACTACAACTATTTCCATTGCTTAGAAATCTAAAGATCTATAGAAAATTGAACTGCACATTTTATTATTTAGACCATAAAAACAATATCATTTCAGAGCATGAATATAAACGGTATGGAGTATCTGTTCGATTAGGTTTTTCTCTTTCTTTAATGTCATAAAAATATTGCGATATATAAACTAAGTCGAGATAAAGAAATTTGCACTTCGGCTTGGTTAGCTTAAACAATTCCAATTCTTAGAACCAAAGGGGCAATGTGTGGCTTGTAAAGGGCGTCTGAATTAAGTATCTCATGGATAAGCAATTCCCACTTTTGCCGACGTCAACTATTCACTCGCCCCATTCATGAGCTTTTATGGCTTTATTCGCTCTATCTATCGATCTGGCTGGCTGTCATTTTCTGGACCGGGGTTTCACTTTGGCCAAGTTCAATTAGCACTGCTTGCATAATTGAAAGTGCCAACGGGCTCCCCTGTTTTCGATCGCAGGGCGCCACTTTAGCGCTCGCCGAGGTGTGAACTGCTAATGGGCCACAAACAGCGACTGGGAAAGGCAAATAGCCGAAAGCCCGTGTTTCTTGGCCAAACAACCTGGCCGAAAAGGCCTATCAGTGCGGTGGGCAGGTGGGCCGTGACGTCACGTAGATCCGTATTTGCCGCTGCACTCGAGTGGCAATGGCGGTGACGTCATTTGTCAACCTGCTGACAGCCGACTGATAGCTAAGTGCATTTTCCATTTAGCGCCATTGAATCACCGATTGAATGGGAGTCGCTCGATACGTGCCATAAATCAAATTCGTCGGCAGTGGCAACCGCTTCTGTGACTTCGTCGGATCGAATTACTCGTTAAATAAATACATCGAATAGAGATAGATGGGAAAAATGAAAAAGCCAGATACATTCCATCACCTGCGAAAGGTCGGAGTTGATTGCCGGGGTGTGGGTGTGGGTGGCCATTGATTGCATGCAAGCCCCCGGCGAGTCATAACCACATTGTAGTAATCGTAATAGCCATAATAACCATTCGAATCAATTGCGAATAAATGCTAAGATTAGACTGATACTCGAAGCGTGTCAATTGCGAATAAATAAATGTGAGCATTTAACATATTTTCATACTATAGCAATAACCTTAACCGCCCAGCCACTCGGCTCACAGTGCGTATGAGCCATATTTTAAAATGATGACGAGGCAATTGACGGCAGAATGTAAACTGCTTGTGATGCAATTTACATTTTAATTGCCGCTTTTCGAGCTGTGTTCTTGCCCAGGCCAATCCATTTAACGTTCCCCCGTTTACAGTGGGCCCCTGCTAACACTTCCCCGTTCCCAAATCGTGGTATGCTTTTCGAATCATTGATTATGCAAATGCCGCAGGGGTAATCAAATAACTCTGAGGGTTGTGGCACATACTTAACGAGTCGTAAAGCCTCTGAGAATTATGTAAATGCAAATTGGATCGGCGACATAAAGATCGTAAGTATGGCGGGGAGGAATTAATTTTCGGAGCCAAACCTGAAGACACTTGGCTGTAGACTCCATCCAACTCTAAACCCGCCATCCCGCGACCAGAGATAAGTATGACATCACCTGGACAAGACCAGTGGCAACATGACTGGGCTTTAGCTCACTCACCGGTCAACTCACCTTCGTTTGTTTGTTTGTTTTTGTATTTCAAGGGTTGGGGGGAGGGGGTAGGTGGCGGAACTGGACCGGATTGCGTGTTTGCGTTGCCCGGTCTACGAAGAAAAACTGACTAATTTATGGGATTAGCGGCGATGGCATTACAAATGCCGAATATTTGGCTGCTCTCGTTCTTGGGTGTTACGTTACAGATTGCTCGAGCATCGCTTCCTGCCCGAATTCTGGTTAACCTTAGAGTCAGCCGCATTTAAATAGAGGTATTTGTGGCCATTAGTGCTGATCAGCACATTTTGCGCCGTGATATTCGACCCCTTTCAGGGGTTACACTCAATTCAAAGGAGAGTGCATTCGGCGGTTTGTGTGAGCGGCCACGGAAATTCCATTTGTTCAAGTTCACGGTCAGTGGAGCAAAATACACAGAACTAGAACAACATGTTCCCCCGACGTTCTAATGCCGAAAGTAAACATTGCCGGAAGAATTCCAGCTGCACATCGAAAATAAGACGCAATCCCCAGGTTGTCTATTTGCCTTAAGATACGAACTCAGCGCCAAATACCACATCGCTCTTCCGCGATGATCGATTGCAGTCGTGGGGGAAAAGCCTCGTGTCGGTGGGGATTTTCATTTTTCTTTTTCTATTTTTTATTTTTTTAAATAGCGTGACTCTGCTCCGTTGCCCGATTTTGCATCCGTATCTGGTGAAGGCATCTGCATCTGCATCTGCTCTGCACCCACGAACCGCCATCAGCGCTTTTGGCCAGACCCGATCTTGGCCCAAAGTGGCACAGCCATCTTCCAGACTTTCTAGTGCGTCCCATGAAAAATGCAAGTTAGCTCAGATTTCTGATAAATGTTTCTGTTTTTCGGAAAATGTTCAGCAGGCGAAAGGGGAAAAAGTCAGCCTAAATGGGTTAACAATTCTTAACCTACACGAAACTAGCGACTTAACTACCTGGATTAGAGGAAATATAAAAGGCCTGTTTGCCCAGTCTGATTAATTAGCAAGTGCCAACTGATAGCTGCCAGTCTGAGTTCCACCTGTTGTTGTTTTTCCGACTCGAATATCTTTTTGTGGGCACACACTCGTTTACCGCAAATCCGTTGACAATCCATCTGATATTGATTTCCCGCCAAGCCACGCATTCAATTACAGTTTCAACACTTGCGATTGGTTGCAGTTCGAACTGGATTTGATTTTTCTGTGCATATATCCAGCTTATCTAAGTCAAATTCTCACCTGTCACAAACGATTCACAGTACCGAACTTTGGATTTAGATGCAAAGTTAAACACGCGCACTTTTAGTTTGCTAACTGCAGTCAGCAGAAATTAGCCTCAAATTGGTATTAAACTTTAAAGACTGATCTGATCCGCACGCGCGTTTACTGTCGCGACAGATTTGGAATCCAGACTGCGACTGAGCCAAGTTAACAGACTGAGCTGCGATCTGAGGACTGAAAATCGGGGAAACGACGGCACTCCAAAAGCCGACAAGCGACTGCCGACTAGCGATTTGCGATTTGCGCTTGGCGACCGCAACGAACCTCAGACGGCTTCCACTTTTCGCAAAACAAAACGTTGAACAAGCAAATTTTTCAAGAACTTATTAAACCAAAGAAACAAAACATATTCAAAGTAACCTAAAACAAGGAACAGGCACGAGCGAAACTCAACTCCAAAAGGTGTATTCTAAAGAGTGCAACCTTTGATTAAACTGATATCTTTTATTATAAAGTTATAAAGTTAAACTAGTAGCTTGATACACAAATTCGGATTTGCTTATTTTATTTTAAATACATTCTTTGTATTTATATTTTTTATTCTGCTATAAGCCCAACTCATGGTATTCATTAATTAAATAGTTGAGCCATGGCAAACTAAAGCATGTCTGTAAGAACAATACAATTTTTGCTTAAAAAGAGTTAGAATAAAATTTCTTCATAAAAACACTTTTAATTGAAATTAACGCATTCAAAAACAGTTAAAAATTTAAATTTAAAATGTATTATTTATAATTTATTAAAAGTCTGACAAATGGTGGATAATTAGAAGCGTCGTTAATCATCGGACTTTCGTATTCTTAAGATTTCCCCAGGTAAACAAAATTTGAGCTTGCATGGAAATTTTACTCAATTATTTTGCAAACGGTTCGTGGAAATTTTCGTCTATGTACCGTGTACTCAATGTCTTAAAAATTTAATTATTTTTAGAAAACACTAATATTTGTTTTAATGATCATAACTGAAATCTTTATCTTTAAACAAGAATGCTTAATTAGATTTTGTTATTTATATATGTATGTTAAAGTGATATAGCTGATGCTTATTTTTATACCCTTGCAGAGGGTATAATAATTTCAGTCAAAAGTTTGCAACGCAGTGAAGGAGACATTTCCGAGCTTATGAAGTATATATATTCTTGACCAGCATCACTACGCGAACTAGTCCCTCAGTTTTAAAACTATCTGCTATCTGCAGATCGGGCGACTATATCATATACCTCCCATAAGAACAATCAAAAAAAAAAAACGAAAAATTATATCATAACTTTGTCGTTTTTAATTTTTTTGTTGTTCTTTGGGATTTGGTAATATTTAAATATTATGGATTTACGGTTTTAATTAAATTAAAATCGGAATATAGCTGCCTTAGAAACGATGGCAAAATGCAGCGCAAAATCGACATAGCTTCATTGTTTTTAGTAATATAGGCATAGAAATCGAAATGTAGTCGATTTCCTTTCTTGTTTCATTTATAAATATTAAAATGATGTACTATTACATTAGTTTTAGTAGTAGTATTTACATTAGTTTTTGTTAGCAGTAAGATATTTGTATTGAATATTATCTCGAACTTGATCCAATGTGCACATTGATTGAGTTATTGAAGTTTGTGGGTCAAGGACACTGCCTTGGAAAAAGCGATCCTTAATTGCATAAGCAACAAGCGAACATTAAGCTTAATTGTCTGGAGCTGCGCCTTCGACTCGGCTCACTTCATGTCAAGCGCATTTAAATAAATTCCGTTGAATGAGTAGCCCATAAACAAGCAAGCAATTGCAAGTCAAAGTCGGCGAGTGAAGGAGCTGCTCCACATGCGTGTGGGAGTCCATGTGTCTACACATTGCCACATCGCCACATCGCTATATCCCCAACTGCCGGCAATGCCAACACTTGAACCTGACATTCAACAAATTCATATTTATGCCCCGCCACATGCGGCAAGTGACAGCCGTTCACTGGCAACAAATCGATGCGATCGCTCAACGAATTCTATCTGTATCTGTAGCTGAAGCTGTATCTGTATCTGCATTTGCGAGTGTCTGCCACTCTGCTGATGCGTTTTAAATTGAAGTCAATTCGCCAGACACATGCAATAAATTACGGGAGTCGGGCCAATTTGATTATTGATTTCTCGAAAGTGAACCCAAGAATCAAAGTCAAGGGAGAGTGCTTTTCAAATACTCTATATTTAATTGAAATAAATCTTTGCAATTCTAGTCTTCATCGTTGTCACATATAGTGGGTCCATCGCCAACGCACAAGGCATAGGCCAAAATGTGGGGAATGGTGCTCTGCTGCATCATTCCACTGAAGAGGTGACTTTGGGGGCCAGTGGCAAAGATGCCCACATCCTCGCCAGCGTGGACGCCTATGTTGCCATGGATGTAGCTGGGATGCGTAAAGTCTGGAAGGAAAACAGTTGTTTATCAGTTGGATTCAAAGATCTTGTATAGCAAATATGAATATGTCAATGAACAGATGATATATACTAAATGTTAAAAGTTAGAGGAACTTAGTAGTTGGTTATTCGGGATGCTTGGTATTTAGTTTTTTCAATGCTCATAGCTGCTTATTAATCAATAGTCATCAATATTCTTGGTGCTTATTTGTTTTTTGGTGACGTTTAAACTAAATCTTCTTCATATTTTGTTAAGATTAATAAGTTGCTATGGGTATGGTGTCCCAGGTGAAATCTCTTTACGTATCAGGAACATATTTTTGTTGACACTAAAGTGAAAGGTTCTTACCTTCCGCTCCAATTTTATCGGAGAGATCGATGCGCTGGCCGTGTTCGTCCAGGTACTGCTCCGTGCCCACGGCGTAGTTCAGTGTGGCGTACTTGATGCCGTTCACATCGGCGTCGTTCTGGTTGAGGCCCAGGATGGGGGTGCCCCTGCCGGGATAGCCAGCGATGGTCAGCGGGTGGGCGTGGTCGGAGGTGACCACAATCAGGGTCTCCTCGGGATCCGTAATGCCCAGGGCCTCCTGCACCGCCTGCTCGAACTGCAGCGTCTCGTCCAGCGAGTACGTCGGGGAGTTGTAGTGGTTGCCGTAGTCGATCAGCCCGCCTTCAACGAACAGGAAGTAGCCCTCCTCGTTCTTGCTGACCACCTCGATGGCCTTGCGCGTCATCTCCGCCAGGGTGGGCTCCTCCTTGGCGTCGGCCTTCTTGTGGTAGTTCATCACACCCGACCGGAAGGTACCGATCAGGTTCGTGATCCTCGAGGCATTCACGCTCAGCAGCTGGTCGCGGTTGTAGGCCAACACTCCGCCGGGATGCAGTCCCTGCCAGCGGGACAGCAGGTTCACTCCGTCGGAGCGCTCCCCCTTCTTGTTGAACGGATCCGTGATGGTGTTGGGCAGGAACTTGCCAATGCCGCCGCCCAGCATCACATCGAAGTTCTTGCCGGGCGACTGGGTGATCAGCTGGGTGGCGATGTCCGTGCAGGTGGCCGGATCGTTCTCCCCCTCGCCGTAGGTCACGATGTCCGTGTCGCTCTCGAAGAACCGGTTGGTGGTCTTCGCATAGGATCCCGACGGACTGGCGTGGGTCAGCGTGGTGGTGGTCACGAATCCAGTGGCCTTGCCGGCAGCCTGCGACCAGGAGGCGATGGACTCCAGCCGGTTGGCCGGATCCTCGCTGCCGCTGCAGTTGTTGAAGTTCACGGCCGCCGTGATTCCCAGGGCCACGATGTTGGTCTTCACACCGCACAAGTAGGCGGTGGCGGTGCAGGCGGAGTCGGGCACCTGGGCATTGGAGCAGTAGGTCTGGGGGAGATCAGGCATTGTATAATTATGTAACTAAGCCCTGGGATCAGCACTCACCCTGCTCAAGCCGGTGTAGGGGAACTTTTCGAAGCTCAGGGAATCCTCCTCGCCGGGATTGCCCTTTAACTGGCCCTTGTGGATGCGGGCGGCCGCCACCGTGGACAGGGACATGCCGTCGCCCAGGAACAGGATCACGTTCTTGGCCCTCCTTTTGTCCAGCTGCGGCAGCTCCAGCCGCTTGGCGATCTCCTCGTGGGCCAGGTCATACCAGAACTGGGCGGTCTTCTCCTCCTCGGGTCCCGACTTTCCCTTGGCCATCGCATTGGGATCGATGATATTTCCGTCGCGGGCCTTTACCGCGCTTACAGATCCTCCCACCAGCTGATTCTGATTGTGGATCTCGGGCACTGAAATTGGGATTCTTTTATAGTTCTGTTACATTTGGGCTCCACTCCAGCACTCACTGTCTATAGAAGCACCCAAGGAGGTGGCCACCAGGGCACTCAGCACCAGGATCATGCCCACGTAGCTCTTCATGTCGGCAATTGAACTAACTCCTGGGATCGGCACTTGCCTTTTTATAAACCATTCTAGACTAGCCTTATCTGGTTTGCCATATCTCAGTGACATAATCCCTCTAGCTTTAACGTCCCCAAAAAATCCCAGTTTATGCGTTCATATTTACCAAGTCTTTTGGTCATCACAGTTTATGATTATGAGGGGTCTCCAGTAAAGAAAAGATTTGGCTACCTGTAAAACAAGCCGGGACCAATGAAATGCCGCCGAAAAACGAACACGCTTCGGCTCTCAAAAGCACGGCACACAGAATTTAAACTTTATGGTGAGGTTGTTCTAATGCAATAAGAGATTATAACAGAACACCGTGACCATTTAATGAAATAAAGATTACCCAAATTAAAGCTGATCGTTTAGACCGTTTAGGAGAACGGAAGAAGAAGCTGTGGCCTTTTGGTCAGACACACACTCAGTTTATATAATGAAAATATTCAAGAAATTTAGTGTTTTAAGTGTAAATGTGCCATTTGTTAAGAAAATAAAATATCAGTGAAGTATTAATATTTGAGGGTGTAATTCTTTTAACAGGTTCGTTAGCAAAATCAAGGTTATCTATACTGTTTTAGGAATGCGTTTGTACTGGTAATGTTTACCCAGATATCAATAAAATTTGTAATCTTTCAGAATAATTGCTGGCTTAAAAACACTAGCATATTTATTGGTTTATTATATTTCTATTGAATTTATAGTTATTTTATATGTAAAGCAGTACATATAATCCGAATTTTTCAAGTCACTTAAATTATTACTTTATTAGCCTTTAAATATATTAGCACCGTTTTCATAAACAAACCAAAACTATTTTCTTGTTTAATATTAAAAAAGATTGACGATGTCTTTAAAAAACACATGTTCCACTCTAATCAAACACTTTATTATTTTATGTTATTATATATAACATATAGTCAAAATATATAATAGCATAAATTAATAATTATATATTAATATATCTATTAGTGCAGGTTTAAATTTGCGGTAGTTAGTTATCGCACACCTTCTTCCCGCTGCCAACGCATGATGCGTAGGCCATCAAGTGGGGGATGGTGCTCTGCTGCATTACTCCAGTGAAGAGGTGGCTCTGCGGACCGGACGCCCAAACACCCACATCCTCGCCGGAGTGCACTCCAATTTCCTTGGCGATGTAGCTGGGCATGATGGCGTCATCGGGTCCGAGGATATCATCCAACGGAATGCGCTGGCCATTCTCATCCAGATACTGGTTGGGTCCCGCCGCATAGTTGAGCACCGAGTACTTTACTCCGTTTATATCAGTGTCGTGCTGATTGACGCCCAGAATGGGAGTGCCCCTGCCAGGATATCCAGCGATACTCACAGCGTGGCCGTGATCTGCGGTCACCACAATCAGAGTATCCTTAATGTCGGTAATGTTACGTGCCAACTCGATAGCTTTTTCAAACTCCAGTGCCTCATCCAAAGCGTAGCCCGCTTGGGTGTAGTGGTTGCCATAGTCAATAAGGCCACCTGAAATAAAAATAGAGTTAGTTGTAATAGTTAGGAAAATAACTATATGGCCTATGCATTAAATGTAATTAAGGAGAACCACCCACCTTCAATGAACACAAAGTATCCGTTCTCGTTCTGGCTCAGCTTCTTGATGGCCACCTCGGTGAGTTCGGAGAGGGTGGGCTGGTAGCTGGCATCCGCATCCATGTGGAAGTCCATCAAGCCCGACTGGAAGGCACCAATTATGTTGGTCGCAGTCGAGACGTTCAGGCTGAGCAGCTGCTTGCGATTGGTGACCAGGGCGCCTTTTGCGTGGAGTGCTTGCCAGCGGGCCAGCAGATTCACCCCATCGGATCGCTCCCCAATTTTGCCGTGGCTATCCCTAACGGTCTTGGGCAGGAACTTGCCCATGCCGCCGCCGAACATGACCTCGAAGTTCTTTCCCGGCGTCTGGGTCACCAGCTGGGTGGCCATGTCGATGCAGGTGCTGGCGTCCACGCCGTACTTGGTCACATCCGTGTCGCACTGCCACATCCGGTTGGCCGTCTTGGCATAGGCTCCCGAGGGACTGGCGTGGGTCAGGGTGGTGGTGGTCACGAAGCCCGTGGACTTGCCACTGTCCTGCGACCACTCCGCAATGGAGGTTAGGCGGTTGGCCGGATCCTGGCTGGCGGTGCAGTTGTTGAAGTTCACGGCCGCACTTACTCCGATGTTAATGATGTTGGTTTTAACGCCGCAGAGATAAGCCGTGGCAGTGCAGGCGGAGTCGGGCACCTGGGCGTTCGCGCAGTAGGTCTGTAAAGATAAAACGAAGTCAAATATTTATAAAAATAATAGGCTTAATTCCTTAATTATCACAAATAAGGAACGAACGCTCTTTAACTGAAGTAACACTTTTCTAAGTGCAGTTAAATGTAAATGTAAATCTTAAATTGGTTTTACGTTTTGCTTATTGAATTTTAATAAAATATTTATGTGTTAAATTCAAAATTAAAAAGTTTTTTTTTTTTAGCAAATATTCTCTCAGCTAATGGCGAATTTTGACAAAGTTTAAGCAAAGCCTTCTGTCGTGCTCTGTTCTGCTCTCTGAAATATAATATATAAATTATATTTTTCAAGTATGCATTGCCGTATTAATAACTTCTAAATTAATGGTGCTATTTGGATAGTTTTAGAGTGTCGATATATATGTATATTGACCGAAAATGTTTTTAGTGCGGTTTTAACATATACCACCTAATAACTGGAATCTACCAGGTCTCAAAATAGTTTTGCTATTTTGAGCATTAAAGTGAGCGTGGTAAAGAAAACCTAGAATATTCAAGCTAAATCCCAAATCTCCATCTGAGATCTTGACATTCATTCAGTCGGGCGTATCTTAATTGACTCGGCTATCAAGAATATATATATTATATCTTACAGGTTCGGAAACAATATACTGTTTTACTCTACGCATAACGGGTTTAATAATATTATGCTTGTTAATAGGGGTCCTGAAAAATACATACTCTGCTCAAACCCGAATAGGGAAATCGCTCGAAGCTCAATGAGGACTCCTCTCCAGTTTTTCCCTGACGCTGTCCTTTCAGGATACGTGCGGCTGTGACGGTGGCAAGTGGCATACCATCTCCGAGGAACATAATGACGTTCTTGGCCTTGTCAGTATTCAGCTGGGGAAGGGCTAGTCGCTTGGCGATCTCCTCGTCGGCGATCTTGTACCAGAACTGCGGGTCCATCTCCTCCGGCGGGGTGTACTTGCCGTTGGCCACATCCGTGGAGAACTCCCTGCTGGCCTTCTGACCAGTCAACTCCAACACGTTGTGCACCTCCTGTACTCTGCTAAGGGCTGTTCCGGCCAAGGCCAGGAGCTCCAGGATCGGGAAAAGTAAGTGCATTTCGAACAAGTGCATTCCACTAACTACTGCGAGCTCGTCTGATTCCGAGGTCTTATATGGCTGGCGGTGCACTGAATTATTGTACTCCAGACAAGGAATGCCTAAATTTAGGTATATTCCTCCTTTATGGAACCTTGGACTTATCTCTGTTAGTATTCCGTATCTCTAGGAAGTTCAGCTGAATATTACATTACAATTCTACTATCTAACTGCAATTCGGTGTAATTCTCACTAAATTGTGTATTTGACTTTTGAAAACATTTGACTTTGTTTTGCTAAAAACGTAAAAGCGTTTGCCCATCTCATGATCCTCGAAATGCTGAAATCACCTGAGTAAAGAATTCGTCCAGTTATCCGAATCAGTTTACTCACGTTTGGGATCGTAAACATCTTAGCCAGCCCTATAATCCTAATCTACATGGAACGTGACACTATCTTATCACTAAAATGTTCACATTTTTTCAAACTGGGTGCACTTTGGAGCGCATCTCGTGGGGATGCTTACGGTGAAAGTTGTTATTGTTTATTCGGGCAGTGCAGAAAATAAATCAACACATATTTTATTTCTTTTTATTGTCCCAATAATTGAGATATTAAGATAGTTTTCCGAGTAAGCCGTATCTCTCCTAAAATGCAGTATTTGTTATCATAACTTCGTTATATATAGACAATAGATGAAAAACATATTATATTTTGAACAGCCAATCGGAATCATTATTTAAATAATATAATCAGGTAGTTTCTGCTTATCCACCAACATTTTACAACAAATTGCACAAGTACGACGTCAAAAAAATTCCACGAATTATTTTAATTAATTTAATTTAATTAATTTATTTTAATTAATTAAAATTTAGTTCTAAGATATTTGGATGATCCTAAGAAAAGTTCTATACAAACCTATGTTCTATCAGTCATAGGATCCTAAGAATAAGTAAAATAACCTAAAATATAAACCATTTTATTTTCTTTTGACTTTTAATAAGGATTTTTTTTAAATTCTTATAGCATTAAAATAACAATTTGTGGGACATTATCTACTACTATATTCTCTCCAATTTTAAAAAAGGCATAGCAACAATTAGCATTTTTCGTAGACCTTAAATTTATCTACAAGAAAGTCATGGGACATCGCGATTCATTGGGGAAAGTTTATACTTGTATTTCGCAGTTCTGGTGTGCTTAGATCCATCAAATTAAAGTTAAAACGAGTTTGCAGAGAATTTAATTTGTATTAGAACATTGGATGAGTTTATCCTATCTGGATTAATATAAAAATGAATTAATATCTTTTTGTGCAAAGAGATCCGATTTAATATATTTGGATGTATGCATCATTTATCATGGCATGTGTAAGGTTTCATCCACATAACTGGGAATCTATTCCTAAGAATAGAAAAATTTTTGACACATTTTGCACATTCTTGAAAAATGAGTCATGTTCTCTAAAAAATTGCATTTTTGGATAACTGGAAAAATTTTAAAAATACAAATATAGTTTGTGAATTGAAATTTGGGCGGTAGTTAGCTTCGGCAAACCAAAGTTTTTATATTCTTGTAACTTTCAGAAAAATAATGAGCAGCTTTATAATTTAGTCGTTCGATTTGTATAAGATTAAAAGCGTAAATCGTTCAAAATGACTATGGGTTAAGTTATATGTTAAGAAACAACAAAGCTATAATTATTGCTGTTTCCCTTTTTTCCGATTGTATGGAAGCCATGTGATATAGTTATATACAACCTGCAGGAGAATAAAGACATTTTGCAAGATGAATCAAAATAGTTATACAACTGCGATACAAGTTTGCGTAGAAACGGACAGACGACTCTTCTGGTGATGATGATTAAGTATACATATACTCTCAATACTTTATAAGGTCAAAAACGTCTCCGTCACTGCTTTGCAAATTATAATAACCCCTGCATTGCTCTAAAGATATATAGTCCATTGTTTAGTCATGTAGTTTGGACAAGCGATTGAACTGATGACAGTGTTCCGCACGCGGCTATTTATAATTTTTTAGGACGATTTTATCTTAATTGTCGTCTTTCGTGTCGTAGTGCTTAAACCGTCTTAAAAAATTTCAGTTTATGTTTTAAGATTTGCACAGTTTTAAGTCATTAGAGTTTATGATTACGGGGGCTCTTGAGTCAATAGACCTGGCTACCAGTCGAAAAATCTGGATGAACGGAAAACGAAAGATCATTCTTCGGCTTTTAAAAGTGGGCACGGCACCCACGACTTTAACCACGGGGAGTCACACTCAAGGTTGAATTTTTGGGATGGCTGGTGCCAGATGCTACATAAGAACGTGACAATTACCGTGGTAATTAGAAGATTCAGAGATTACGAGAGGCATGCTCTAGATTTGTATTATAATTATTATAGGTAATATTTCTTATTTAAGAGAACAAAGTGCGACAGGGATTAATTGGGCCAGACATGTAGATAAACTAAGGGTATCTAATCATATTTAGCAATTTTTATGATTAGTACTTGTCTCTTTTTTTACTGGTTTTCTACAGAAATAATATGTCAATATGATTGATTCCCCTTCTTCTGATTTCTCTACCTAAGTTATTCATTAATAAATAAACATCAAATTAATTCCATTTTTTGTTTCCATTTTAAAGCTAATTTATCAAGATTTAATACGGTATAAACCGAGCTTTAATGTCCCCAATAAGTCAATTTAAAAACGTATATATAAAATTGCTTAGTAAATTTTTAATAGAGAAACAAATACAGAGGGTTGCTTAATACTTCAATACTTCAATTGGCTAGATTCAACCTCCAATTCCATTTGCCTGCGTCTATTAATTTCCCTGGTCTTCAGATCCTTCGTACTTAGTTGTCGCACACCTGTTTTCCGTTGCCAACGCACGCGGCGTAGGCCATCAAGTGGGGGATGGTGCTCTGCTGCATTACTCCAGTGAAGAGGTGGCTCTGCGGACCGGAGGCGAAGATGCCCACATCCTCGCCAGAGTGCACGCCCTGATCCTTGGGGATGTAGCTGGGCGTGATGGCGTCATCGGAGCCGATGATGTCATCCAGTGGGACGCGCTGGCCATTCTCATCCAGATACTGGTTGGGTCCAGCCGCATAGTTGAGCACCGAGTACTTCACTCCGTTTATATCTGTGTCGTGCTGATTGATGCCCAGGATGGGAGTGCCCCTGCCGGGATATCCAGCGATACTGACTGCATGACCGTGATCTGCCGTCACCACAATGAGGGTGTCCTCAATGTCGGTAATGTCGCGTGCCAACTGAATGGCCTTTTCGAACTCCAGAGCCTCATCCAAAGCGTAGCCCGCTTTGGTGTAGTGGTTGCCGTAGTCAATAAGACCACCTGAAAGAAGGGTATATTAACCATTAAATATGTATTACATTTTATGGATTTTTTCGAATGACCCACCTTCAATGAACACAAAGTATCCGTTCTCGTTCTGGCTCAGCTTCTTGATGGCCACCTCGGTGAGTTCGGAGAGGGTGGGCTGGTAGGTGGCATCCGCATCGTGGTGGAAGTCCATCAAACTCGACTGGAAGAGACCAATGATGCTGGACACTGCGGATACGTTCACGCTAAGCAGCTGCTCGCGATTGGTGACCAGGACACCGCCATCGTGGAGTCCCTGCCAGCGGGACAGGAGGTTCACTCCATCGGATCGCTCTCCGGGTTTGCCGTGGCTATCTTCGATCGACTTGGGCAGGAACTTGCCCATGCCGCCGCCGAACATGACCTCGAAGTTCTTGCCAGGCGTCTGGGTCACCAGCTGGGTGGCCATGTCGATGCAGGTGCTGGCATCCTCACCATAGCTGGTCACATCCGTGTCGCTCTCCCACATCCGGTTGGCCGTCTTGGCATAGGCTCCCGAGGGACTGGCGTGGGTCAGGGTGGTGGTGGTCACAATTCCAGTGGATTTGCCGGAGTTCTGGGCCCACTCGGCGATGGAGGTCAGGCGGTTGGCTGGATCCTGGCTGGCGGTGCAGTTGTTGTACTCCACAGCAGCACTCACTCCAATGTTGACGATGTTGGTCTTCACTCCGCACAAGTAGGCGGTGGCAGTGCAGGCGGAGTCGGGCACCTGGGCGTTGGTGCAGTAGGTCTGAAAAGAATAAAATAAAAATGAATACAAAATAATAATAACCTATTTAGATATAACATTTTAACAAGATCATTCTTTTAAGACTACTCATTTTAACTGGTTTCTCAACACAAATTGGAAATATTACTTGTTTGCAGTAAACGTTTTCTTTCAAAGCAAATTTACAAAATTATATTTATGAGTATTGGTCTTTTTTAAAACCTAGTATTATCAAAATTCAGCAAGTGTTTGGGTGATTTTTTGCTCTGTACAAATTTGATTGTATTATCAATTGAGGACTTACCCTGCTCAATCCGGTGTAGGGGAATCGCTCGAAGCTCAATGAGGACTCCTCTCCAGTTTTTCCCTCCCGCTGTCCTTTCAGGATTCGAGCAGCTGCGACGGTGGCCAGTGGCATGCCATCTCCCAGGAACAGGATGATGTTCTTGGCCTTCTGGGCATTGGGCTGGGGAAGGGCCAGTCGCTTGGCGATCTCCTCGTCGGCGATATTGTACCAGAACTGCGGGTCCATCTCCTCCGGCGGTGTGTACTTGTCGGTGGCCACATCCGTGGAGAACTTTAGCTTGTTGACCGTGTGGCCCGTCAGCTCGAGCACGTTGTGCACCTCCTGAACTCCACTGAGGGCTGTTCCGGCCAAGACCAGAAGCCCGAGGATCGGGAGCAGATGCTGCCTGTGGGAGGAGCCCATCTTAAGTTACTTTGCTGCTGGTGAAACCTCACTAACTACACCAAATCCGTCTGAATCCGTTGGCTTATATAGCCTGCGCGTGCTGCGAATTATTATACTTCAGACAAAGAATATCTAAATTTAGGTTTATTTCCCCTTTATGGACCTCTGGACATATCTTGGCTGGAAATGTTATATCTCTCACACAATCAGCTGTATCTAGCATGGGGCTCTGCAATTTGGGAACTGATATGCAAAGTCTGCTAAGCCACTATCTCACCGTGGTCTGAAGATTTGTATACCCGTTAATCGTAGAGTAAAAGGGTATACCATATTCATTGACCAAGCAGCATTGACCTGATAATGTATACGAGTTTATTTACTTGATCAGAACCAATCTCCACACTCGATCTAGCCGTGTCCATTTGTGTAAGCGTTGAAATATTGGAAACTAGAGAGTAAGGACTTAACATTCAGATTCCAGTGATGCCTACGCAGCGCAAGGGTATGGATATATGTTAAAAAACAACTATATTAAAATTTTTTTTTATTTCAAACGGACATGGATGCGTTACCAGCCAACGCTGATCTAGAATATATATACTTTATAGGGCCGGAAACGTGTCCATGACTGCATTTCAAGCTTTAAAAATTAAATTATAGTACCTTCTACAAGGGTATAAAAATGTCGACACTTACTTTAATACCTTAAAAACCCCTGGAGACATAATAGAGAATAGTTTTTGTCAGTTATATTAAATATATACATAAACATATACATATAAACGTATACATATACATATATACATAAATTCGGAAATCTATAGAGACACCGAAAATTTTGAAAATTGAACTATTATAAATATAATTACTTTATTTATAAAAATTAAATTTAACATAATCAATTTTGTCAGCGCTTAGAGATAAATTTACCTTACCCCCAGATCTTAATTGTCTTGGTAAAAAATAACTGTAATCGTACCGTGTAAAACTACCGCAGTTGATGTAAAATTAATACTTTACGTTAGTGTTAAAACTATGTTGCACGACTCGCTAGAACCGTTTGGAAATAATAGACCCAAAATTGGAGTAAAATGAAAAAGTGAAAATTTCACCTAGTTAATAATTTTTTTTTAGTTGTACAAAACGGTACGTAAAAGTAAGCAACAAAATTAATACAAAATCCAAAAACAAAATACATAGTAATATTACATTAAATTTACTGTAAAAGTTTGTTGATTCAACGAACAACATATTATTCTATGTCAAAAGACACATGTCGCCATCTTTTGGGGACATTTTCTTTTTTTAAGTTCATTAACAGAGTATCGTGTAAAAGATAATCGAAAAACTAGACTTCTTTTTGCTCGAAATTGTTTGACCTTTCTTCAGCCAAGAGCCGTTGCCCACTTGTCTAGCTCATGATCTCCAAAATGCCAAAATCACCTGTGCAAAGAATTATTTCGCTATCTGAATCAGTTCAGTCACGTTTGGGGCCGTAAAAACCTCACCCACTCTTATGATCCTTATTTATGGGGAACGTGTACATAGCTAGCTTATCAGTTAAATTTTTGCATTTTCACTAATGGGAGGTATTTTGGACCGCATCTCGTGGATGGGGATTAAATAAAATGTGAGTGTTGTTATTGTTTAACTGGGCAGCGTAGAATTTAAGTGTCTGTTGCCAAAAACACTTGCTTATATTCTTTTTTGGTGCCATAATTAAAGTAGACATGTGATATATTTTTCACACACACCTTTCTTTTGCAATGCTCCTTTTCTGTAAAACACAAGTAATAGGTTTAAAAACCAATAAAATACAATTTTAAAATTCAATCCCTAAAGATTATAAAATGAAAGACCGATTTTTAAGGGGATACGGCCACAGCCCAAACCGTAAGAGCAAGAGCCGCCAAATTATTTCACAGTATTCCATTGGGGGCGTGGGCGCCCACTAAGATCCGATATGTCCCCCCAGTGGCCCCAAACAGCTCCAACATCCATTATTCTGAGCAAAAAAAGTTGATGTATTTAAGCTTAACTTCTGAACTGGTTGGAATTTCGATATTTGGTTTTTTCCGAATTTTAGGTTTTGAAAAGGCCTAATTAGAAATCTAAAAGAAATTTTGATATCTCCCATAATTTGGGGGCTACATTTAAAATTAACTTTTCGATTTAAAAAATCTAAACCGCTGCTCCGATCAAGATGATTTTTCGCTCAATAGTTATTCTATGGCCCAAATGCTTAAGTTTAATTTTTCAAGTTTTTAACATTTTTTTAAGTATTTTTAACGAATTTATTTAGATTTTCTAAGTCATTGCGTTGTATTTTGCGGGAGCCTGTCGAGAGAACGAAACCCAGAAGCCAAGAGAGCGACGGCCGAGAGAGCAACAGCCAAGAAAACTGATGAGGGGGAGGGGTAGTGCTGCAGGAAAGGGGAGGGGAAAGAGGCAATTTAAGTTAAATTTGTTTAGGATTTTAAAAACTTAAACTGCTGCTCCGATCAATATGATTTTCGATTAATAGGCAGTCCTGTGGATCAAATGCTTAGGTTTTATTTTTCATTTTGTAGCAGAAGTAAGAGCCTTATTTAATTTCCACCATGGAAGAAAATAGAAAATTACTACAAATTCTGTAAGCAAAGCCAAAATGTTTCCAAGTTAAATATTAATCTTAAGATTCGAACTTTTGACCAAATACGTATGTACATATGTATATTTGGATATGTTTTGATTTGCTTATATGTACAATACATGTACATACATACAATGTGTGTGTATGTTTCTATTCGAAAGTAGATAATGTGCTTAAATACAAATAAAATGATTTATTATACCCGTTTATCGATCAAATGTGGAATCTGAAAATAATACGTTACTTTGCTGTTTTTGTATTGGATGCCAATCTTTTACTGAGTGTACAAAGGTTTTTGTTTCATTCAAAACAAGAAATTTGAAAATAACAAATTCCAATTTACAAACAAGTATACATATTTGTGCGCAAATTAAAATTGCATTGATAACTTTGTAACTGATAAAAAGTATACAAGCTCACGACTTTTACTTGGATCACTTTCATTTATTATATAGCTCTGCCAGTATCCTTCTGATTCTCTCTCTTGAAGGATCTTCTACAAAGGTTGTTAACAAAAAAAGGGGCAAATAAGAAATAAGAAAGTCCTGACAACCCTAACTCCAAACTAATATTAAGTCGTATACAATACAAAAAGCGTTGGGGCTGAGATGGGTGAAATATTTTTTTTGGATGCACCTGGAGGGACAGGTAAAACCTTCTTGACAAACTTATTGTTGGCAAAAGTTAGAAGTAAAAAAAAATTGCCCTAGCTGTAGTATCTTCCGGTATAGCTGCTACCCTGCTCAATGGAGGTCGAACTGCTCATTCTACATTTAAACTTCCTTTGGATTTAGTTAATTTAGAAACACCTCATTGCTCTATTTCAAAGCAATGTAATATGGCTGCGGTGTTTAAAGATTGTAAGTTAATTGTTTGGGATGAGTGCACAATGTCACATAAAGGTTGGCTTGAAGCCATAAATAGAACCCTGCAAGATAATAATGAGAATACTATGTTGGTGGGTGGTATTACAGTCCTGCTAGCTGGAGACTTTCGCCAAACCCTTCCTGTTGTTCCAAGAGGTACAAGAGCTGACGAAATAAAGGCCTGTTTAAAATCTTCATTTTTATGGCCACAGATAAACAAACTAGCGCTCATGAAAAATATGCGAGTGCACTTAAAAGGAGACAGTTCTGCAGGTATTTTTGCCGAAACTCTTTTAAAAATTGGGAATGGCGTCCATCCAACAGTTGATGGAAAAATAGTTATAACATCACGCTTAGGAAATGTAGTCAAAAACGTTCAAGACCTTACATCCAAAATATTTCCTGACATTTCCAACATATCATGTAAAAGCTTAGATTGGCTATCTGAGCGCGCCATTTTGACAACGAAAAATGAAAGAGCAACCACTATTAATAATTTATTGCTAAACTCATTTGATGGTTTAGAAGTCTCCTATAAATCGGTCGACTCTGTTCCTGATGCTGATAATGCTGTTCATTACCCTGTTGAATTTTTAAATTCTTTGAATCCTCCAGGAATTCCTCAGCATAATCTGTCTCTTAGGATTGGAGCACCCGTAATGTTATTGCGAAATTTAAGTCCCCCAAAGTTATGCAATGGGACACGATTGCAGATAAAAGGTCTTCATAAGAATGTAATCGAAGCAACAGTATTTACGGGGTGCGCGAAGGGGGAAACAGTGTTTATACCCAGGATCCCATTAATACCATCCAGTCTGCCGTTTAAGTTTAAAAGGCTTCAATTCCCTCTAAAAGTTTGCTTTGCAATAACTATAAATAAATCGCAGGGGCAGACTTTGAAGCTGGCTGGACTAGATCTTAGAGAAGATTGCTTCTCTCATGGACAATTTTATGTCGCATGCTCTAGAGTTAGCTCTGCCAGTAGCCTTATTATTCTCGCTCCTGAAGGATCTTCTAAAAATGTTGTTTACACAGAGGTTTTAAAGTAATCATATTAATGAACATTATTAAACCTAGAAAGTTTCAGTGGAATAGGTCTAATTGGAGATACCACATTAAAAAAAACGCGCCAATTTCTCTACCTCAGGGGAGGTGTGGAAATAGGAAAGTCTTGACAACCGTACTCAAAACTAAGCGAACGAAGTCGCGCCGGGTACAGCTAGTATTACATATGCAAGCTTTAAGTAACCCTAACGTTGGTCATAACATTACCGACTGTTCGCCTTAATTCTATATACAAAATGTACTATCTTGGAAAATAGTGCCACAAGCATCGGCTTGGGACTCAAAATTTCGAAATAAAACCACAAATCTAAATTAACCCAAAATTGCATGATGTTCAAGCGCAGTCTCAGCCATTTGGATAAGCTGCCCAAGGCGCAGGTGGCCGAGTGGCTGGGCGGGATCGACACCATAATCTGCAGCTCGGACGGGGTTTTGTGGCAGGAGAACGATCCCATTGAGGGATCCGTGGAGGCCTTCAATGCCATCAAGGCGAAGGGAAAGCGCGGTTTGATTGCGACCAACGACTGCAGCCTAACCACATCGGATTTGGTCCAGAAGGCCAAGTGCCTGGGCTTCCAAATCCAGGACCAGGACATGCTCAGTTCGGCGGGGTCCATAACGAGTTACCTCACCGACCGGAAGTTCAAGAAGAAGGTCCTCGTTCTGGGCGGCGATGGCATCTGCAAGGAGCTGCAGAAAGAAGGCTTCTGCTCCGTGGTCAACAATCAACGGCCTGATGGCCGGAGCAGATTTAACTACGCCAAGACTCTGGTACTCGATCCGGATGTGGGTGCTGTGCTGGTGGCCAGAGACGACGCCATGGAGGTGAACCAGTTACTCGTGGCCTGCAACTATCTGCAAAACCCCAAGATCTTGTTTTTGGCCACTTGCACAGATGGGTTCCTAACATTTGGCAAGCGGAGAATTCCGGACGCCGGTACCGTAGCGGCTTCCATCCAGGTGATCGTGAATCGCATGCCAACGGTTTTGGGCAAACCCAATCCACGAATGTTAGGCAAGTTGCTGGAGTCCGGCGAAATAAAACCGGAAAGGACGCTTGTAATAGGAAATTCGTGAGTTCACTTGAATTCTCCTTACAAAAATTAAGGGTTTTGTCGCTTAGACGCTGTCACTGCTTTAAAAAGTGAACATTTTTAAAATCATATCTCTTTCTTAGCCAATATGTTTGGTTTCAATTTTTATTAGTAAGCAAAAGCTTTAAGAACGATTTTTCCAAAAAGGCTTTTGACATACACATTTTTACATTTATCTAGAAATAAAAAGTCTTTCATTTTCCATCTGTACAAATGATGTTATAATCATTTCAAGATAAAGCGAAGGAAAAATCATAAGCTGAAAACAATTTTGAAGAACCTTTTGTATCAAATATGTATTACATTTCTTAGTTAAATATTATTAGAAATAAAATACATATTTTTTTTATATTTACAGACTAAAGGCGGACATTGGATTTGCCAATATCTGTGGTTTTCACTCATTACTAGTGGGCCAAGACAATGGAGCTTTGGAGCAAGCCGAAAAGATTCAAAAAGAGGAAGACGAGAAAAAGATGAAACTTGTTCCAGACACTTTTTTGTCGAGCCTGGCTCCTTTTCTAGAGTATTTGTGCACCGAAGTGAAGCCGGACCAGAAAAAAGATAAAAAAGCTCAAGAAATCAACGCAGGGACGGCCAAGCCGCAGAAAAAAACAGAAAATAAATAGTTAAGATCAATTTAAATTAGGCGCCCAATTTGAACAGCTGCTTGTAGACAGCAAAGACTTTGCAACACTGTCGCGAATAAATAAATGTCGATATATGTCTTTGGTATGATATGGGAATGTATTTTTTTAAACTAATAAGAAACGTGATTTGAATTGAGATAAGTAAAGCTATGCTATGCATGAAAATTAGGTTTTTAAAATTTTATAGACTAGTGCTGCAAAACACATTCGTATCTAGCACTGTTCTGATTGGAACCGATACCTGCTGGCCCTGCCTATCGATAGTGTCCATCGATAGCCGTGCAGCTCTAGATTGCAGAGAAGCAGAAGACAAAGAAACAAAATGTTCTCTGCAAAAGCTGTGCTCGTTTAAAAGCCAAAAAGTAAGTGACAACTGGCCCTCGCGATCTGCACCTTTTGCATTGCCAGCGGGTCTAAAATAGTGGCTCTATAAATACGAGAGGATGAAAATAAACTGCATTTAAGTGCAACGGCTGCGAGTGTGTGCGTGTGTGAGAGCGAGAGTGCGCGCGAGTGTGTGTATGTGTATACATGTGGATAAACGAAAATAAAACAAGGGACCGCTCCCCGCCGAATCGCCACCCCGCAAAGTTCATCATCCGCCCGAGAATCGGGGGAACTGCATCGCACTAAATCGGCCACCATCCCCCGCCCCTCGTCCTTCATCCACCTCCTTTTCCTTGGAAAACAACAACAGCAACCACCAGCGCCCTTACAACAACTGTTACAAAAGCAAAAGAGAGACACCCCGCACAGAAACACACACACACACATCCACACATACACAGAGTGTCCTCGCCAGCATTTCCAACATCCCAATCCCAATCACAATCGCAATCACAATCGTAATTGTAATCCCCCAAGATGGACTCTGATATCGAAATGGATCTGGAATCGGACAACGACGGGGAGTACGACGACGACTACGATTACTATAATACAGGTAAGAATGGGTCTACTTAAAGGGTTTCCTCCTAACAACAATCAGCCATCGATTTAACTGAGGCTAAATAAGGGTACGAGTGTATCTGTGAGGAAGTACACACACATACAAGCGACTGGCCTGGGTTGGTTATTCACCTTTTTGGGAGGCCCAGGCCCATAAGACCGAAGAATTTGCATTCAGCACTTGACATTCGCCTTGGGTTCCACTACCAGACCCTTGCCCCGCCCCTCTTCGCTCACCGCCTTTTCTTTGCTGACCATGAAGCTGAAATTATGGAATTGAACTTGAAACAAACACACACGCACGTAACTACACGGGGAGAAAAAGCAGAGTTTATTTGGGAATATCACAAGAAGTCTAATTTGTTAAAAAAAGTTGATACCTAACAGATTACGTAATATTGCATTAATATTTTTTCCAATGAAAAATTATAATGATTTCATTAATATGATAACGCTACATTTTTAATTGGTACTTATTCATATTAAGTCGAACTTTTAAGTCCACCTTGGATTATGGGCAATAAAGACTATTTATACACGTATAATAATTCATATAAGTAACTAAAAGTCCCAATTGTCTCCATGGTTCGACTATCAAACCAGATTGTCAATGTGGAAAAAAGCTGTCCGTTTTGTAATAACAATTTTTTAGAAGCTGCATTTTTTCTAAATACCTATATAATATGAGAATCAATACAAATCATAATCAGGCTTAGGAATTCACTTAGAGTTACGGGTTATTTTAATTCGACACCTTTAATAATAATATTAGAATAGGTATATAACAATGGGTATGTTTTGTTTCTCTCTGTGCATGGGCAAGTACGATTCGTAGTTGCGAGTTGCGACTGATTGCGAGGCTTGTGTTTTGTGGCTGGCTTCATTATTGGCCGCCACTCCTCTCACGCTCTTCGTAGCTCCAACCCACACATGCACACACACACACTCACACACCACCACCATCTCAGGTGCGTGCTCGAGTACGCAGTTGCATTTTGTTTTGTGCCCGCTCTTCCGTCAACTCGGGCTCCGCTTCTTGACCTGTCCCTTATTGTTCCGACCTGGCCAAGACACCTCGCAACACAACCTTCAATCGGATACCCGTAACATCGGGCATTTCTATGGCAGCCTTGTCGGGCGGCTTATTTTCGTGAGCAAGCAAACTTTATGGCTTACAATATGCCAACATGATTGTCAGTTACAGAAATAGTGATTTGCTACGATAATAATAAATCAGAGTACAGCAAATTAGCTTAAACATTTCCGGACTATTAGTAACGGCAAATCGATGACTTAGGTGAGAAGCGTTTCAAATAATATAATAAATATTTCCAAATAACAAACGATGTTTGTTATCCATAACCCTTTAAAAGCCGTAACCCGAAATCACTGTAACTGGTTACGTAAAATAAGGGATTGTAACTATTATATTGTATGTAACTGAAATGGTAATTTTAGTTTCGTTAGAAATCAACCCTTGAGTGTTACATATTGAACTTGACTCTAAAAGTTAACTTTTAATACAAGACAAGATGCAAACTTCAGCCAGACGAAATTCATATGCACTTAAAAAAGTTTTTTACCTAAATTTACCAACCAAACTATTATGAAATAATAATAATAAAAGTAACAAATTGAATATTTAAATCCTTCACTACTTTGAAAAATATCGGAAATGTAAATACCTTGTCCATTAGTTTTAGTTTACTTAAGTAGTTAAGTATTAAAATATTTGCAACATTGGATCAATATCAATATTTTCTCAAGAATTCAAACTTTTTCCTTACGTTATCCCAAGTATTTTTCAAGAAAACACTTATGAAGTCTACTCTTTTCTGAGAAACCGTTAACTCATCCATATCCTTCTTCCTTGCAGGCGAGGACTGTGATGTGGAGCGCCTGGATCCGAAACGGGCAGATCCCGAGTACTTCGAGTTCGACTGCCTCACCGTGGAGGACATCGAGAAGCTGCTGAACGAGCGTGTGGAGAAGCTAAACACCATCCTGCAGATCACACCCTCGCTGGCCAAGGTGCTGCTGCTGGAGCACCAGTGGAACAATGTGGCCGTTGTGGAGAAGTACCGCCAGGACGCCAACGCGCTGCTGGTGACGGCGCGCATCAAGCCGCCGCAGGTGGCGGTGGCGGACACCGCCTCGACGAGTGCAGCGGCGGCGGCGGCCAGTGCCCAGCTGCTGCGATTGGGGAGCAGCGGATACAAGACGACGGCCTCGACGGTGCCGCAGTACCGCAGCCAGATGTGCCCGGTGTGCGCCAGCTCCCAACTGGGGGACAAGTTCTACAGCCTGGCCTGCGGGCACTCCTTCTGCAAGGACTGCTGGACCATTTACTTCGAGACACAGATCTTCCAGGGAATCTCCACGCAGATCGGCTGCATGGCCCAGATGTGCAATGTTCGGGTGCCCGAGGACCTGGTGCTGACGCTGGTCACACGACCCGTGATGCGGGACAAGTACCAGCAGTTCGCGTTCAAGGACTACGTCAAGTCGCACCCGGAGCTGCGCTTCTGCCCCGGGCCCAACTGCCAGATAATTGTGCAATCATCGGAGATCTCCGCCAAACGTGCCATCTGCAAGGCTTGCCACACGGGCTTCTGCTTCCGGTGCGGCATGGACTACCACGCGCCCACCGACTGCCAGGTGATCAAGAAGTGGCTGACCAAGTGCGCCGACGACAGCGAGACGGCCAACTACATCAGCGCCCACACCAAAGACTGCCCCAAGTGTCACATCTGCATCGAGAAGAACGGCGGCTGCAACCACATGCAGTGCTTCAACTGCAAGCACGACTTCTGCTGGATGTGCCTGGGCGACTGGAAGACGCACGGCTCCGAGTACTACGAGTGCTCCCGCTACAAGGACAACCCCAACATTGCCAACGAGTCGGTGCACGTGCAGGCGCGCGAGGCGCTGAAGAAGTACCTGCACTACTACGAGCGCTGGGAGAACCACTCCAAGTCCCTGAAGCTCGAGCAGCAGACGATCGACCGGCTGCGCCAGCGGATAAACTCCAAGGTGATGAACGGCAGCGGTACCTGGATCGACTGGCAGTATCTCTTCAACGCGGCGGCACTGCTGGCCAAGTGCCGATACACGCTGCAGTACACCTATCCGTACGCCTACTACATGGAGGCTGGTTCGCGGAAGAATCTCTTTGAGTACCAGCAGGTGAGTCTCAGAGTATTTACTCATTGGACCATTACCTAATTGGATCGGAACTCCCTTGCAGGCGCAACTGGAGGCCGAGATCGAGAACCTGTCGTGGAAGATTGAGCGCGCAGAGACAACGGACCTGGGTGATCTCGAGAATCAAATGGACATCGCGGAAAAGCGTCGCACCACCCTACTCAAAGACTTCTTCCCAGTGGAGACATAGGCAAATTATAAGCTTCCAGGACCACCAGAACAGACAGCTTGTCCCGTTTAGCACAAATAACTCTGAACGAAATAACGCGACGCGACGCCACACGACAGTATAGAGACGCTTATTTAAATTAAATTATACACATACTTACTTGTATCCATCTAGCAGTAGGCCTAACGACGTGTAGCTAATTTTTAAATTAAACAAATAATCAAGTGCATATAGACTAGAGTACGTACCATAGAACATAGTCGACTACTTGAAGTAAAATTACTATAGTTGTGACATTCGAAATCACTCAAAATGATCGGTGTAACTGCAATACAACGCCTTGCGCAGAACGTTAACGATAGTAGCTACAAAACTAGCGATAACTATAACTATAAATCTAGCAACTGACAAACCAGACGCATTTCAGTGGCCAAGTGTTCCAACAGTTTTCCAAAAACTAGCCCAAACGACCCGACGAAATGCAGAAACTATTCTAAATTTATAGCGCCGCAAGTCAAGCAATTATAGATCAATGACCTCGTGTAGAAGGCGGCACATCGGCTAGACCCTAAGTTTTAAATCTCGTACTAACCCAGGGCTGAGCAGCAGCCGCGTTAACAGCATCAAGTATTCGTAATCTGTATCTCGTAACTAACCGCAGCACATCAATCGAACGCAAGAAGTCTTGAATTATAACGAAACTAGGTACTCCCCGTCCCCCGATCCCGTTCCTTTTGATTCTCACTCGATTCTCGATTAACGTTGTAAGCTGAATCGTAAATTATATTCTAGGATTACGCTATGTATGTATGCTTATGCGACTGAATTTGAATTAAATTTACACTAGATATACAACTACAGAGGATAACTGATTTTTGGAATGTGGGCTGTAAGCTCGAAAAATGAGCTTTGTACTAAAAGCTGTGCAGAAGCTCCACCAAACATTGGGTTGAGCTTTTTGGAGCTAAGCTTTCACTCAAGTTTGAGTGGCAATTGAGGTTTGACTTTGAATTGGACTTGTGTTGTTTATCTTATTGAATGAGCTCATGGAACTCTGTTAAACTCTTATTTCCCATCATATTGAAAATGTTTTTTTTTATTAAAAACCTAATTAAGATTTATTTTTAATCCCTTGTTTAATTTTTCTTCTAATGCAGTATATAAAGTCAACTCTATTGTCCTACTTGGTACTTAATTCTTATTTAAGTTTTTTGTTCATCTGGGAGGTTGATATTTTATTTCATTTTATGCTCCTTTTTCTGCTGTTCCTAGTGCTCTTCCTCTTGGCCCTGGCACCTCTGCTCTTCCTGCTAATCTTCCTGCTCTTAATGGTACTCTTTCTTGTACTGCTCCTAGTGGTCTCATCCTAGATTGGCTTTTGTTAAATACACCTAATTTGGATAATATTTACCTTTCTTTCTGGTTTTTAAATTTTTGTTTTATTTATATTGTAATCTAAGGCAGTTTATAATTAACTCTATCGAAGGCTTGGTAATTAATTCCTATTTAAGTTCTTTGTTATTTCATTTCATTTCTTGCTGCTCTTTCTACTTTTAATGCTCTTCCTGCTCTTTCTGCTAGTCTTCAGGCTCTTTCTGGTACTGTTCCTGGTAGTCGCGTTCAACGTTAAGAATACCTAATTTGGATATTATTTACATTAGTGTATTTAAATTTTTGTTTTATTTATAATTATAACGTCAACTCTATTGTCAAACTAGGTTCTTAATTCTTATTTAAATTTTTTGTTAATCCGGGATGTTGATATTTCATTTCAATTCTTGCTGCTCTTTCTGCTTTTCCTACTGGCCCTAGTGCTTTTCCTGCTGGCCCTGCCACTCTTCCTGCTCTTCCTACTCTTCCGGCTCTTTCTGGTACTCTTTCTGGTACTGATCCTGCTGGTCACATCCAAAGGTGGAATTTGTTCGATGGGAAGACTGAACAATCGGCATTCGGACCGCTCCTTCAGCAGACTGTTGGCAAACTTCTTCACTCCAGATATCTTGGTCACCCTCACATTGTTCATATTCTCAACCTTCAGTGCGGGGTACACCTCCACATCGCAACAGTTCTTGATAAGCAGCAGGTCACTATTGTTCGTGATGGGATACCGGAAGTAGAGATCCTTGCCGCAATCCAGGCACTTGTTCTTCATGCGCTTAAGCTGGAATTTGACCGGAAAGCACCGACCCACCATGGTGTTATTGTCCAGGATAACCGAATGCTTGTAGGTGGGTTTTGGCAAGGGTCGCTTGGTCCACTGTGGATTAGGGTGTCTTTAATTCGGGTCAAACAAGAAGAATAGTTTACAAAATATCTTAATAAATTGCTTGTAAACTAGGAAACATCATGATTTAATCAAGATACTATGTCTGATTGACATTCTCATTTAATGGTTTAATATCAAACCTTACCCATTATAATGTTTGACATTAATAAAGCGCAAACAGTCTTTCATTAATAAGAAAGGTTTAACTTTATCTTTTAACTTTAAATACTTAATTTCGCAGTGTTGTTAATTTTTGTGTTTGCCGATATACGCATTTTCGACCAAATTTTGATTTGTCACTTACCTCATTGAGGTGCAAATAGGTGTGAAGGGGCCTGCACGCCGCAGAGCAGAGATTGGGCCGAAGATTCTGCTCCTGGGCCACGCACATGGTGCAGCACCTCAGCTTGTCCTTGTCGGACTCCAGGAGCGGACGACCCTTGCTGCACTCCGCCCGGATGTTGATCTCCTGCCGCACGGGTCCGTCCGGCTCGATGGTGGCCTGGATGACATCTGCCTGCGGCTCGACTGCGCTTCCTCTGGGCGTTGATACCTTATAGTCGATGCACGGTCCGCAGGAGGACACGTAGCACTTCCGGCAAGGACCGTCGACCCAATTTTTAAGGATCACGCGCTGACAGCTGTTTTCCGGAGCGGACATTGTGCAGGTGAAAAATGAATGTTAGCAGGAAGACGAACAATTTGGAAATTGGAAGCAGTCAAAAAGTGAAACTTCAATCATAGCTAGTTTATTTGGTTTAACAAAAATAGGTAAGGTTTTTAATTCTGCTGAGATTTGGAATTCAGGCTTTTCATTTCCAATTCCTTATTCTGTGAACTGCTTTTCGGAGACTTCTCCTCATCAAATATCTTGAGATCCTTGGCATGATACCAAACGGAAATATTTAGGAAGCCGCCCAAAAATATAAAGGAAGCGGCTGTGAAATTCAAAGCGTATCTGCAAGACAAATAAACGTATAAATAAATAAATTTAAAATTAAAACCTTTAGAATTTCCCACCGCAAGGATTCCGTGTCATAGAGCCAACAGTTTCCTTTACTAGAGCAGGTCTTGCCCCACACCAAACAATAGTTGTCTATTAGCCAACCAAAGAAAATTGGACTGGGAATGAACGCAAGCAGGGAAGCCACCATTGAGCCCAATCCCAGAGCGAAGGTCTTGTCTTCTTGGGGGATGCAGCGCAGGGCGATGAGCAGGTTCGTTGATTTACTGGATGCTCCCACGAGTTTTAGGAAGCACATCACGCCCAGGAAGACAAGGAACTCGTTGAAGCAGTCTACTGGACAAGTGCCGTCCACAGCGAATTGGGACTGAAATGATGCAATCATAAATAAAGTAGCAATTCAGAGATGCAGATCACCCACCTCCGAAGTGGTCAAACTTGAAGACCCCAAGCACTGGCAGTCAGTGTAAATGGTCCTGCCCAGGGCATCCTTCGTCCTTTCTGAGCACCCCGCGTGGCAGGCGGAGATGTAGGTGATGTTCTCGGGACTGCAAACCGGAGCATAGTGCACGTAGTCGCAGTGACAGGAGGCACTGCAGCTGTCCCCGGCGGACAAGGTGGTCAGGGAGTTCAACCTGTCGCTGCCCTCACATCCGATGGCCACATAGCACAGGATTCCCGCCACCGTTACGAAGTCCACGATGGCATTCCAGCAGGCCATGGACCTGGCACTCGGCTTGTACTTGGAGATCACGTATCCGGAGATTAGGACTCCCGCGGCGGAGAATCCGAGGGCCACTGTTCCCGTGGCCATGGTCGCCGTGGCCGCCGATTGTCTGTACTGGGTTTCGATGTACTTTGGGGTGAATATCCAATAGGCCATGTAACCGAAGAAGTATAGGATGGATGCAAAGGTGTTGTACACATACACCTTGTTCCTCGCCAATCTCCTGACTGTCTTCATCATGTCCCCAAAGGAGCGCTCTTTGAGGGGCAGTGACATCTTCCTTTCCGTCTGCTTGAGTTGGAGACGTCTCTTTCGCGAACTGGGCAGCTCTTTGGGAAACATAAACAGGAATAGGGCAGAAATCAAGGTAATGGCAGCCAGGACTAGCCATCCCAGCCACCAGGCGCCCAACCAGCGGGGATCCTCCCGCCCAATCAGAGGTTCCAAGGTGGGTTCGATGTACAAGCGCAGGCAAAGAGCAGCCAGGGAATACCCAATTGCTGGACCCAGCATCCTCAATAATGAAGACATACCTAGTAGAAGGATAAATTATAAATACAATATAATCTATATTCACAATACTCACTCAACATGGCAGGTGTCTTGGACTTGGTGCCATTGTCGTCCAAGTAGGCAATGCCCAAAGTATAGAAAAGAGCCTGACCCACTCCCGAAATAAGCTGAGCCACAAACAGAAACACTTGCGGCACCCACTGACCCACCTCCTGGATACATCCTCCAGGACTCGACTGACATAATTTCTTGTCCTTCTCTTGCCTCGCCAAAGTTTCGTTGACCTGACCAAACTCCCGGGTCAGCTTAAGGGCATCCTCGCCAGCTCCGTAAAGGAAATGCAGGGAGCTTGTTAGCAGGCAAAAAGCCACGATGGTCAGTAAACCTAAACGGGACACTATATGTCTGAAATTGGAAAATCAGAACTCGGATCCTAGCTCACCAATTCCCATCCAGCGGGGACGATGCCCATTACCCGCATAATAACCCAGGAGGGCGGCCGTTAGCATCGTACTGATATCATTTCCCACCGAGATTATGCCAGTAATCTTTGTTGGTATTTTATAGCGCTTCTCCAAGGTCGTTATAGTAGCATTAAAGTAGGCAAAGGTCATTGTCATCACACAGCCCGCTAATCCATAGAGAATCACATACATTTGCTCAGTGGCAAATCTGCAATGGAATTATTAAGGTATTGTTGGAAAAGTTATAAGGCCTTACCTTTGCATAGAGGGACCCCTGAATATCCAGAAGCCACAGGCAGTGTCTTTATTGTCCTCTTCCTTTTCCGTTTCATCTTCAGGCGAATCCTTTAACTTTTCCGGGATGACTAATGCCTTTTGAATAAAGGGCAAGGTTTCACTTGACTCTAGGGTTTCCTGCTTTCGGTCTTCCGCCATGTTTCAACCTTTGTCTCCAAACAGCTCGTCTGAACTGATTCCATCTATCCGAGGTCGCCCCACGATATAGCCAGCTGGATCTTGTGAGCAAACAGCTTTAAGGTCTTATCAAAGCTGTCAGATTAGACAGTGAGGATCAGGCAGGCGACACTTATATAGTATGTAAGAAATTAAATTTTCAGACCAGTTAATTGACGGGACTCCCTTATCACGATTTGGTATCTATTTCGGAAACGTGTGAAATTCTGGCACAATTTTTTATCATTTGTGGGCCACGTCTCCCCAGATAATAATATACTTATCAAGGTACAATAAATAACATCTTCATTTCTTCATAGGGGATCTTATTTATTATCCGTCACATTGTGTATTTCTAATCTCTAAAGAAAGAAATCCACATTTGCAAAGCTGAATTTTTATTTTTCCAAAAAGGTGTGCATTTAATATAGATATTTAAAAGTAGTAGGGTATATTTTATAGGTGTTAAAGAAGGGCAGTTTGAAAAACTATAAAATTGATAATATTTAAACTCAAGTTTTTGGTTTTAAGGATTATAATTAATGTTTTATAAGTTTACAGGCAGAGGTATGTAATCTTACGGATTATTTAATGTTCCTGTTTGAACAATTACTTTTGGCTTTTCCTTAAGCTCTATTTCTTCATCCTTTTTGGTCTGGTTTACGGTTTCCTCTTCATCGAACACTTTTATATCCTTGGCATGATACCAGACTCCAATATTCCAAAAGCTGCCAACGAAAATCAAAGAGGCACACACGAGGTTCATTGTGTACCTGAAGAAAGGAGTAACAGCTTTTATTTATACTCTAATTGCTGCCCAATTGAATCACTCACCTTAAGGACTTCGTGTCATATATCCAGCAGTTGCCCTTGGAGCTACATGTCTTTCCCCAAACCAGGCAATAGCTGTCCAGCATATAACCGAACACAATGGGGCTGGGAATGAAGGTCAGCACGGAGTAAACCATGCTACTGAATCCCAGGGAAAAGGTCTTATCCCTCGAGGGAACGCATCGCAGGGCTAGGAGCAGATTACTCGATCTCCCAGTGGCCCCGACGAACTTCAGGAAGCACATGACGGCCATGAAGATGATGAACTGCTTGTTGCAATCCACCGGACAGGCTCCATCCATTGCGATCTGCGACTGGGAGGCCAGGGATGTTAGGCCGGACAAGGAGGTCAGGTTGGGGGAGTTGCCCATGCACCGGCAGCCCGAGTAAATGGTCTTCCCCAGCGCATCCAGTCCCTTTTCGGTGCACCCCGCATGGCAGGCGGATATGTAGGTGATGTTCTCCGGACTGCAAACCGGGGAGTAGTACACGTACTCACAGTCACAGGAGGCACTGCAGCTGTCGCCAGTCGGAAGAATGGACAGCGAGTTGGCCCGATCGCTCTCGTCGCATCCCACCAGGATATAGCAAAGGATTCCGGCCACCGTGAGGTAGTCCACCACGAAGTTCCAGGCAGCCATTGCCCTGGCACTCGGCTTGTACTTGGAGATCACGTAGCCAGAGATCAGAACTCCTGCGGCTGAGAAGCCCAGCGCCCAGGTTCCCGTGGCCATTGTGGAGGTGGACGCCGATTGTCGGTACTGGATCTCAATGTACTTCGGGGTGAATATCCAGAACGGCATGTAGCCGAAGAAGTACAGTATCGAGGCAAGCATGTTGTAGACATACACTTTGTTGCGGGCCAGTCGCTTCAGCGAGTCCAGCATGTCCTGAAAGGAGCGCTTCGCCAAAGGGATGTCCTCGTCGTCGTCTGCCTTCAAACGCCTTGCCTTGGCACTGGGCATCTCCTTGGGGAACATGCCCACAAAGACTGCCGCGATCAGCAGGATAACGGTGATGAGAATCCAGCCCAGCCACCAAGCTCCCATCCATCGGGGATCCTTTGTGGTGATCAGAGGCGTCTTGAAGGGATCGATGTACAGCCTCAGGCACAAGGAGACTATGGAGAAGCCCATGGCAGGACCCAGCATCCGCAGAAAGGTGGTCAAACCTTGGGACAACAAAGGTTTAATTTCGGATTGAGTTTGGGGAACTGATTTCAAACCATACTAAGCATAGCCGGCGTCTTGGAACTCGCCGAACTGTCGTCCATGTAGGACAGACCCGGCGCGTAGAAGAGGGAGCACCCAATGCCCCCCACGAACTGGGCGATGAAGAACAGCACGATGGGCATGTAGTCTTCAGCGCCCTTCACACAATTCGAGTTCTTCTCGTGGCAAAGGGCGTCATTCTTCTCCGTGGAATTTACAGAGGTATCAATGGATTCCGTCAGCCCGTACTCCTCCGTCAGTCTTAGGGCCTCTTCACCGGCTCCGTAGAAAAAGTGTGGGGTCAACATGAGCAGGCAGAAAAGTGCTATAATGATGAGACCTACAAAAATTCAAGGGAGTGACTAACCAAAGTAGATATCTTGACTTCAGGAATGTTACCCAATGCAACCCATCGCGGGCGATGTCCTCGACTGGCATAGTAGCTCAAAAAAGCAGAGGAGAAGACTGTGCTTATATCATTACCCACTGTTATGAGGCCCGATATCTTGGTGGGTATATTGAAGCGCTTCTCCATCGTCGTAATGGTTCCAGTGAAGTAGGTAAAGGCCATGGCCAGAAAGCAGCCAGCTAAACCGTACATAATTACGAACATATGCGCAGTGGCAAATCTGCAGACGAGGATTATATTATCGAACAATTAGTCCAAGGCAGAATGATCTACCTCTGTAAAGTCGGTCCCTTGAATATTGAGAAGCCACAGGAGGTGTCCGAAGACTCCAGTTCCTTCTGCTTCTCAGGTGCATTTCTCCCGGCTTCTTTATCCTTCAAAAACTTGGAGGTTTCAATCTCTTCACTGGCCATGACGATCCTTAACCGTCGAACTACTTCAATACACTGAACCCCCAAGTCAAAGTTAAGTTGCAATAGACTAAGGGGCAAACAAAAAAGCTGCTAGATAACGGATAACAACCTTCATTTTTACAGCGTAACCCGTCTCAGGTTTATCTTTACAATTGGGATCTGTTTTTTAATTGTCAGCAATTACCATACGAGTATATACAGTGGGGCAACCTTACTGTTACAATACCGTTTATTATGGTACTGGACTCTATGGGGGAAATCACACTTGGATATTGACAAATCAAGGCACCAAAACTCTCACTCACACAGCACTTAGGCGTAATAATAACTTAGGTCTAGATCTCTGTATTCTTCTCGTTGCTGGCCTCCTCCTCTTGCTGGACGATCTTCATCTCCAACTCCTTGACTTCCTCGTCGAAGATTTTCAGGTCCTTGGCGTAGTACCAGACCCCCAGATCGAAAATGGCCCCAATGGCAATAAAGACAGCTGCGGTGAAGTTCAGGGTGTATCTAAAATGGGAATTATTATATTGTGTTGTTTGAGTTCTTTCTGGGTGGACTCACCTCATGGAGAGCGGATCGTAGAGCCAGCAGTTTCCCTTGTTTGTGCAGGTCTTGCCCCACACCAGGCAGACCCTATCGAAGACCCAGCCGAAGAATATCGGACTGGGAATGAAGGCCAGCATCGAGCACAGGGTCATCCCGAAGCCCATGGCCGCCGTCTTGTCCTTCTCTGGAACACATCGCACGGACACCAGGAAATTGGAGGCCCTGCCACTGGCGCCCACGAACTTCAGGCAGCACATCACGGCCAAGAAGGCCACGAATTGCGTCCAGCAGTTCACCGGACAGGCTCCGGGCATCGCCTGCCCATTGGCTAGATCCTGGAAAAGTCAGTTGAACTTAGGTTCTTAGGGTATGGAATAGGTATAATTAGTTTACCTCCAATTGGGTAAGAACCGAAGTGTCCTGGCTGAAGTTATCGCTACTCAAATCTAAGCTGGTTAGGCGCTTGAATTGACTTGTGGAATTGGCAGCAGTGCCAGGAATACAGGAGCAATCGTAGAAGATCTATTGGAATTCAAAGTAAGCAATAGGTATTTGAAATACAAACATAGAAAGAAGAAATCAAAGATTTCAATAACAAAACCACATGTTATATTAGACAAATTGGACGATCTGAAACTAGATTACTTACCTTTTTTCCTTCGGAATTGACGTGCAAGCTTTTGCATCCAGCGTGGCAGGCGGAGATGTAGGTCATTTTGTTCTCCCCGCAAACCGGAGAATAGCGAACGTAGTCGCAGGAGCAGGCCGAATTGCAGGTGGTGGTGTTGTCGCCGAGGGAACTGTCGTGGATGTTGACGATCACGGAACTCTCATTTCCCGGGCAGCCGATGAAGGCGTAGGCCAGGATGCCGGCCACCGTGAGGAAGCCCACAATCACGTTCCAGGCGGCCATGTATCGGGCCCTGGGCTTATACCTCGAGATGATGAAACCGGATAGGAGCACTCCCACGGCGGAGAAGGCCAGGGCCACTGTTCCGGTGACCATGGAGGAGGTGGCCGCCGACTGGCGGTACTGCACCTCGATGTACTTGGGCGTGAATATCCAGTAGGGTGTGTAGCCCACCAGGTAGAAGATGCTCGACAGAGTGTTGCACATGTACGTCTTGTTGGTGACCAGGCGGCGGAAGGTCTTCAGCATGTCCTGGAAGGAGGCCGTCGCCTCCACAGGTGCCTTTTGGTCCAGTTCGGCTGTTAGTCGCTCCATCTCCGTCTTCTTCAACGAAAGCCGCTCCTTCTCACGCCGGCGATTCTCCTCCACCTTCCGGCGGGCCACTGCTCTGGGCAGCTCCTTGGGAAACATGGAGAGGAAGACCCCGGAGAAGGAGAGCAGGCCGCCCATCACCAGCCATCCCAGCCACCAGGCGCCCAGCCAGCGAGGATCCTTGTTGTTGATCACCGGATGCATCTGCGGGGCGATGTACAGGCGCAGGCAGAAGGAGGCCAAGGCGTATCCGATGGCAGGACCCAGCATGCGCAGGAAGTACGAAAGACCTGGAAAGGAGTTGCTTCTATAATTTATATACGTATATGGTTCAATAAATGCCACAGGTTGCATTAACGGTTATCTTCTTAGAGATATGCACATAATTTAATCTAAGTACAAACAGAGATCCACTAGCTTGTCTAGCTGGTATTAAAATATTTAGAAAAGATAACACTTTATTTTCTGACATCAAACAGCAAAAATATTGAAGTCAAAAATTTATCTCAGCTGCAATTTTTATACCCATTATTCGTAGAGTAAGGGGGTATATTTGTAAAAAAAATGAAATGTAACAAATGAAATATATTATTTAAAGCTTTGCTTATACAGTGTATCATATCGAAACTTCCAGGAAAATCAGCTTATTAATAATATTTAATATGCATTATATCAAATTGTGTTAATATTTTAAGAACGAATATTATGTTGACGGGTTTTCAGAATTCATAAAATTATTAACTAGCTTTTACAATAATTTTTGCCTAGGCCTCGCCTTAGAATATAGTTATTCCATTTACGACCTTTTTAATATTCATGAATAAGGGGGTAAGTTCATTTGTTATTTTGTTAACCTGCCAGATAAATCTGCTGGATACCAGATCTTACAGATGCCTTCTTTTTTGACTCTCATCTTTCGGTTTTTCCCTAAACTTTTAATGCTAAATTGCCCTGAATCAGCGTGAAGTAGCCACTCCCCCAAGATATGATTGTGTTAACTTATCACACTAAACACATAGACACAAGAGCCAAAAGATTAACATTTCGACAGTTTTGGTTGGCTAAAACTGGTACACTGATACTCACTCAGCAAGGCCGGAGTCTTGGACTTCTTAGTGTTGTCGTCCATGTAGGACACACCCAGAGTGTAGTACAGGGATCCCCCGATTCCAGATATGAACTGAGCCACAAAGAGCAGGAGTTGTGGGGCGAAGTTTCCTTCGCCGACCTCGCACTCCGCTCCTCCTCCACTCAAGCGGCACAGGGTCTTCGATCGCTCCTCCTCGATGGCCTCCATGGTGGCATTCTCATCCGGCATCCCGCCAAACTCCGAGGTCAGAGCCAGTGCATCCTCGCCGGGTCCGTAGAGGAAATGTGGTGCGGTGGTCAGAACGCAGAAGAGAACGATGGTGAGAAGACCTGAAGCAGGCAGTGTTACATGATCTGAGAAACCCTTTACCAGTAAATATCTTACCAAATCCAATCCATCTCGGCCGATGACCTTTTCCCGCATAGTAGGCTAAAACGGCAGACACCAAAGTCTGACTTATGTCATTTCCAACCGATATAATGCCGGTGTTCTTCGAGGGTATCTTAAAACGCTTTTCTATGGTGGTGATGGTGCCATTAAAGTATGCATATGTCATCGAAAAGATACAGCCCACGATGCCGTATAGCAAAACATAAGCTGTTTGATTGGCAAAGCTGAAGGAAAGGAATTTAGTAAAGGGGATTCAATATCAGTGATATTCACATTATTTGGGAAAAGTATCCTTTCTATACTTTTGTAGATTAGTTTATATTTAAAGTTAAATCTATAAGAAACAAGTGCTTAACTTACCGCTGGTAGAACTTCCCCTTGAATATCCAAAAGCCGCAAGTCACGTTCTTCTCCAGCGGCGATTCCCTCAGCAGCTTGTTAATTTCCGCGGTCATGAGGCGATCCTGTGCGGATTTCTGTTTCTTCTTCTTGGGCTTGGCTGTCTTGGGAGTGGGTTCCTCCTCGCCCAGATTGATGCCCGCCTCCTTCTCCTTGTCGCAGGTCTTGCCGTTGTCCAGAAGCCTGGACTCAACGTCGGATTCATCGCGAACCTCTGGGCCGCCAGTCTTGACATCCTGCTCCTCGGGTCCCAGGCTACTGGGATTCTCGCTCTGCACCATCCTGATTGTCTTTACTTGGGTCGCGGTCGCACTCAGCACATTGATACCTTTCGCTTTGGGGCACCGAACTCACACACACATGCACTGCGCACTGCGACTATATCCCAAGTCGGCACTTTCGCAGTCGCTCACAATGTCTCTTAATTTTCGCCAGATCTTTCGCGGGCAATTAGCTAATTGCTTGGGGATCGGATCTAGAAAACAACCTGGCGCGTGGACGGTCGCGGATCGAGTGGCATGATGTGGTCCGGTGGCCGCGGATCTTAACTGTATCGGGGGACAGTCGGATCCAGACAGACTTCCCCAGGCCCTCGCCCAAAATAGTGACGTTCCGGCAGGTTGTGCCAAATATTTTATCAAAATATTATCTCAGGCCGAGTTATCACTCCCCCAGAGCCATTGAGCTAATCTTGGAAGATGTTCGAGACACGTTGTTGCTCGCTCATGCTGCTTCTGTTGTCGCCTGCGAAATTTACAATTTGTTTGCGGGTTGAGTTGGGCTACTAAAATTATAAAATAGACAGCTAAAGTGTGTGATAAGAGCGGCTCCAGACGGAAGATGAGCGGTGGACGGTGGACGTGGGGACCTATCTTATAGCGCCATGTTTGCACATTGATGAGCACGTAAATCTCAGCACAGTCATTGCCAGAGATTTCCAGGGAAACGAGAACTAAAGATACCCCCCCGGACAAACACTATAGTTGCCTGCTCATTGTTTTTGCCGCGGATTAGGGACGGGATCAATGTGATATAGTTGCTATCGCTGCCCCTGTGTGAGTGGCAAATTAGTTTAGTCAGAGTGCTGGAGAGCGAATTTCGTTTATTATTGTCAGTCCGGATTCGGCTTTTCCTCACGCCTTCTCTCCGAATAACAGAATCTTTCTCAATGCCCCAACGTGTGCTCTATTATTTAATGTGTACCCCCATGTGTGTGTCTGTGTGTGTAGCTTATGTGCCGCCACAATTCACTTAGCATATTTAAATTTATGCGCAGCTTATCACTTGAACTTTATCTTGATTGTACTGTTCTTGATAAATATTTGAATAGAAACTCATCCAGAACTTCGCTCCTTGAACTTTACTTTCATTTCACACTTCGGGCTAATTCTTGTAATTTATTTGCCCTTGCATAACTTACGAGTACTATTTATTTATTTTGATTCGTTTTGTTTCGATCGCGACCTACGGAATAGCGAGGGCGGTTGCTGAGACGATCTCAATTCGGGCAAGACCGTAAACGAACTAAACTAAACTAATCTAAGCGCAGCGTGTTCTGGATGCTCCACGAAATGGTCACTCATTTCAGGAAGATTTCTCATATATTTCATTTGCCGAGCCCACTCGGAAAGCTTAGCTTTAGCTTCGACTTGGGTTCGGATTTGGATTTGGGTTCGGAATCGGAATCGGACTCGGACTCGGGCTCTTTAGCTTCGTATTTTGGCTGTGTCACTGACATCAATTCCCAGTCAAAATAGTTGGATCGCAGTTACCTATATATATCCCAGAGTTCTTATGTGCCTAAGAACTCGCTCTAGTAAATTGGCTACTCACAGTCGATTCGTCGGATGAATGACGGCGAATGAAAGTGAAACCGTTGAGTAATTATGGGCATTCACAAAGGGCATTCTCTTTCTATTCAGATAATTTTCGGCGGTGTGGAGTGAGGAAACAAATCAATAGTGTGACATTAAATTTATATATTTGTTGGCTTCTGAGGTAAAGACCTCAAAAGCTTAAGAAAAACGAATAGGCTAACACACAGAAGCATGAAACTTAAGAAGCATTTCCACGAGGAAGCAAATCGATGAGATCAAACTAAACAGTTTCCAATTTGTGGTATTAACTTAGAGATACTGAGACCTGCGGTTGCTAATAGCTGAGCTCCAACCCCCCCACTCACATAGAAAGATGTTCCATTGTCTGGGGTATCAGGTTTCCAAGAAAGCTCCCCCTCCGTTGCTCTTCCACTTATTTTTTAGATCGTAAACGATAAGCCACACTATGCCCAGGTTTTTCCCCATCGCCAGCAAATTGAATTCAAATTGCAATTACAGCGAGCACATATGTAGGCAGTGGCAGTAGCTTAAAAATAATCCCAAGACATGACTTCCTTGAAAAACACACACACATATGCAGATGTATCCTTAGAGGGAACATCATATGTTCCGGCAGGGCAATAAAAATCAAAGGCATAATTTCATGATATCAATTGAGCGGCAATAAAACGCCAGCCCAAGCATGTTTATTATTATTTCTTATTATTATTTTTCATTTTCCCAACACCAGCTGCCGTCTCATTCGCATTTCCGCTCTATTTCTATCTTGGCGTATGCAAAAAATAAGGAAACCAGGAGCAAATGTGACCGCGGTTGTTATGGGGGATTTCCATATACCACCAGGGCTCAGCATAAATAACAACAAATGAGCCGAGTGCGCGAAAAAGAGAGAGCGATATAGCCACACAATGTAGCATCTTTATCTTTGTTGTTGCGGTCCGCCTGTAAGTATGCTATATATATATGGCCCGATGTGAAAGAGCTCGCAATTCGAGCTGCTTTCTTTATGTCGCTGGCACGCGTTCGGTTTGCGATTTTATTTCCGGCCAAAACGTATGCAAATGTGTACTGCCCCGCCCCTTTTTGTTCCTTTTCCCAATTTCCCCCGCCCCCTTCTTATCGCGGCGGCACACATAAACAAGCGGAAGATGGAGCTGCAAGCGCTGACAATAAATAATAATTTTTTGTTTCTCCAAGTGAATCGGCATGAATTATAAACGCGAATGCGAAACTTGCTTATCGCCAGGATATGGAAAGTGGAGTTCTCCAACTGCGTGGGCGTCTCAAGTGAGGCGAAGGATGAATGCCGAGACGGCTTACCGACGCCACAGCAAACAGCGAGTGCGAGTGCGAGTACATTCCCATGCGGAATGCGGAGTTTCCGCTTCCGGTGGCAAAACGCGGGCCAAGAGACGTGCCAACTAAACCGCTTAAGCACTCAATTTGCGCGTGAAAAGGAACTTGACACCCACACATGCGAGTGTGGGTGTGCGTTTGTGTGTGTGTGGGCAACCACATAGGCCCAACTCCCCCCCGCCTTTCACTCCACTTTCCCTCCGCCTCGTCGACCGCGGCACATGTCAGCACTTTGTTGTGATTTCCGTTTCCGCTGTCGCTACATCCTCGACACCCCATCGCCCATCATCCTTTTACCCCTTCGTCGCATGTGTGGGTGTGTGGTGTGTGTGTGTGTGTGCTTATTGATATTGTTGTCTTCCTTGCATTCGCATTTAACGGCAGTTAGCATACGTTTCAGTTACGAGTGATGTATCCTTGAACACAGAAAGGGTAGTCAGGCATTTCAATAAACCTCAATAAACTTGGTTTAGTCGTATTTTCAGTAATAGATTTTAAAAAATATTTTCGCTCTTAATAAATAAGATCGTAAATGCCATTGTTTAAGCAATATATTGAAATATAAGTCATCCTTCTGCTTTTTAACAGTTAAACTTACAAATAACTTAAACGAAAATTTTTTCTATCTAATTTGACTGACTCTGGAAATATTGTTCAGTTTTAATTCGATTTAAAAACTAATATTTTTTTAAAGATAAATATCCTTTTTCTGCAGATCATATAAAATAATGATTTAATTTGTAGTTTATTTTTAAAAGCAAAATTAACTAAAATCATAACTGTCGACCTGAAGGTCAGCAACCTCACATTTTCTACAAATATTATACATAACTCTGAATTGAAAAAAAGTCAAACATTTTATTTTGTATCATATGTAAGTACGGGTTTTCCAGCTGGGTTATGGCTTCTTACCATTAAAGGGTATTGCAAATTCCAAGCAATACTTCCGATAACTCCTTTTATTGTGTTCATTGTAACCCTTGATAAGCGTAAATGTATTTATTTGTGACTTGCCCTATGACGCCGCACCCCCGGGAGCATCCACAACCCCCTCCTGCCTGCAACCCTCTCCCCCCTCCGTTCGTCAAGGTTGCGTGTGTGTCAAATTAGGGTTAAATGCTTCTCCCTTCCCATCCGCCCATCCATCCATCCGCCCATCCACCCATCTCTTCCCCTGTCTTCTTAGCTAATTTGTTGTTTTTACTTGGATTTTTTATACGCCGCTTTTGTTGCGGAATACTTTCCGGGCAGCTTAGGAGTTTTGAATGCTATACGCCCGACTGCTCTTGGCCTTAAGTAGGTCTTAAGTCTTCATTTGTCTACTCCTGCCGGGGAAATTATGCTGCGCCGTACCTCAACTCCTATGAAGTAAGCGCTTAATATGCCGACCGCATGGAAAACCCACAATTTTCCAGTCCAATTTTTGCTGTCAATTTAAGTTGTAATTAACAGACCGACGGCTGAGCACCCCTCCCACTCCTCCCTCCGAATAGTGGTCAAAAACCCCCAAAAAAAGAAATAAAAGAAGAATTTTGGAAGTCCTGGGTGAAAATTGGGGGAAGGCATATGGCATGCAGCTCACGTACGCTCATTACGCATTTGATAAATTTAGCATGAACGGAGGGGAGGGTGCAAACAGCACACCTTGAGCTCCCTTCCTGGGAAAAATCGAATACGCCAAGGCAAATGTCAAAATAGACAATGCACAGATTACCTGAATTACCCGGGAGGCTAGAGGAACTCATTCACTTTCGGCACATAATTAATCAAAAAATGGAAGCTCGAGCTGTCCGCTTTTGGGGCATCCAACATTGTGCCCCTGCCGGATTTGGGTCATTAAAAGCGTCCCGTGCATAATGAGCTCGACTGCCAAAAGGATTAAGATCCGAAAGCTGGCCAACATTTTTAATGTGCCCCTCATGCGCTGCGGGTCGCTGCTCCTGGCTCTCCATTCGCTTTGTCTTGCTTCCCTGCCCGCCGACTCTTCAGCCATTCACATTTTTAATTCCTTTGCTTTTTATATTTTGATTCCTTTTTGCCCGTTGTTGATGCATCTTATGCCACTTCGGCGAAAGCGGCTCGGAAAAATAAGCTTAGGAATGGAAAACAAACCGCTGCCTAACCTCCACTCCAATTTCCCTTTTTCATTGTGTGTATTTCTGTGTATATCTATCGTTTTTCCGATTTTAATTCCTGTTTTTTCCGCTTGCGTTTACTCAATTAGAGGACCTTTCTCTTCCCGGGAAACTGCGCTTAACCGGGCACGGTATTTTTTCTACTTTTTAGAGCCCTCGCCCGTGACCACTTAAGTATGCTAAGCTCACAGCTTAATCTTGCTCAGGGGTTTGACCTCTTTCGATCACGTTTTGCCTTCGTTTTTAATTGTGTTTCATGCCTTTTTTGCCTTAACCATTTTCTTAAAATACACGCCTTAGAAAATCTCGGGTTTGAATGGTAGTAAGCTCGCTTCCATTGATAAATTTCAGGCAATATGCTGTAATAAACTGAAAAAAAACCAATTTCAGAAACTTAATTTTTCAGCGATTATGTTTGTAAATATTTTCCTAGCCACCCCAAGCCAGGGAAAACCTTT